AATTATTTGTGATGACATCAGAAAGTCTTGTGGTTTTTCAATAATACTGGATTCTACTCAAGATATTAAAAAAGTTGACCAAGTGAGTATTATCATACGTTATGTATTAGTTAACTATGAAAACAAGAAAATTGAAATCAAAGAATCGTTTTTGGGATTTTTTGTACTTGATAAACATAATGCTGTTGACTATGCAAACCTTTTACGTCAAACATTATTGACATTTGGTCTTAGTATTAATAAGTGTTTCGGGCAAGGGTATGATGGTGCTGCAGTTATGAGCGGACAGCACTCAGGTGTTCAAACTTTAATTCGATCTGATTTTCCCAATGCTGTATATGTACATTGTTGTGCTCATAACCTCAATTTAGTGATCTCAGATGCGGCAAAAAGCTCTAGTAAAGTTCAGACATTTTTTAATACAGTTCAAGACGTTTACAACTTTTTTAGTGTAAGTGCACCTAGATAGGCTTTACTAGCTTTAGGGAAAGAAGTTGAATCAAAAATACAAAAGAAAACCTTAAAGAGAGTTTGCCCAACACGATGGGAAGCACGCCACGACTCTGTATTTGCATTAAAGGAACGTTATTTGGACATAATCAAAGCACTTACTCATATTCTACTTACGTCTCATAAATCTGATGAAACAAATTTAGATGGTTCCTTGAAAAAGAAGCTCGAATCAGCTGAGTTTGTATTAATTTTATGTTTTTGGGAACGAATATTACGATCATTAAATGTAGTGTCTAAAACTCTCCAGTTAATGAATTTCAACATAGAATTTGCTGTTGTTCAACTTAATAGTGCCATTGAAGATTTAACTAATTTACGAGCTAATTATAATAATTTAGTCGAAGTTGCCAAAAATCTTTGTGTTTCATGGAAAATACCTTTCAACTTCAATTGAAAACGTGAAAGATTTGCTATTAGGTATCACGAAGAAGTTGATTGTGACCGAAGACTTTCTATAACTGAGGACAATTTTAAAGTTAAAGTATTCTATCCCGCACTGGACACGGCATTGTTTGAGCTTAAAGAAAGGTTTAAAGGTCTTAAAACAATAAGTGATGAGTTTTCTTTTTTAAAACCAATAAATCTTACTACAATAGAGGAACAAATTATAATTAAAGCATCCTATGATTTACACATAAAGTATAAGAATGAGTTAAGTTCAGATATTACAAATCAACTTTTGTGTTTAAGAAATTTTCTTTGTGTTAATAACTCAACAACTGTGTTGCATAATATTAAAGACCTAACAGTTTATTTAATTGAACATGACTTGGCATCGTCTTTTCATGACGTTTTTACGCTGTGTTTAATTTTTCTGACTATTCCAGTTACAGTCGCTTCTGCTGAACGTTCTTTTTCTAAGCTTAAGCTCATAAA